TTGGTTTTCATTTTCCTTTTTTTTTTTTTTGGTGGTGCTGGGGATTGAACGCATGATACGCAAGCACTCACCCAACTGAGCTCCCTAGCCCCTTAATTTTCCTTTCTAATCCTACCAAATGTTCTTTCAGCCAGGTTCAGTGAGCTGGGAACTCTCTGTACTCCTTGTGGTGGGTTCTGGCTCAGCTAGTAGAATTGGGGCCGCAAGGTAGATAGGAGACATTTAATACAGAAATGCCAGGGCTGTTCCCTTGTTCAACAAATGTGTGCCGTGCGTGTCTTATTCCCACTGTATATCCTAGAAAGGACTGAGCACACAAAAAGCATCCTAAAAGTCTTTCTTGGATTGAATCCTGTCTACATTTAACTGTCCCACCCTAGCCAAGAGGCTCTTCTTTGAAACTTTCCTCTGCCTCTTGGCTCTTACTTGGTCAGCAATGACTGTCTGGTGCTGGTACATTCCAGGGTTAAGCTGCCAACGACAGAACTGGCCTCTCCAGCCACGGGTGATAGTGCCTCCCCCGATGCCACCCAAGGGACAACCTAGAGAGAGGAACATGATGGTTAGTGGGGTAAGGGGAGAAGAAAACAATGCCTTTCTCACTTTGTGGACTATAAAAACCACTTCCTCTAAAAACCTAGGGAATGGGGCAGTGCAATTTGCATAACCTGGAAGCCTCTTTGCCTAACTCTATAGTAGACCTGAATGCTACAACCTTTCTGAGCAGGGCAGAAGTGGGGTGAGGCTCACCATAGATCTGCCTCAGGGGTACACAATTGAACATGTCGATAAAAGGTGTCTTCTTCTCTACCTGGGTCTTCCGGTACCACCACTTTAAGTACCTGAGGAGCAAGAGGTAGTGAGTACAGGGGTGGATAGGCAGTTCTTCACAGGCTGCAATGACTTGCCTTTCAACATCCAGCAGTGACATCCCATTAAATGTAACAAGGCATCATCACCTTGGCTTCCAAGCCTTTCCTTGTCTTGATTATTCTACAGTTCAAGGCCCCTTCATTTTCCCAGTTGCCCCAGCCATTGGTGTAGGATAGCCTTTGTTTCTCCTCTTTATTCTCTGCAAAAGGGGCTTTCTGATCTTTCCTTTCCTCTCCAATTCTACTACTATTGCTTTAGTTCAAACCTTAGGAGCTTTTGTGTGAGATGTTGAAAGGGTCAGTTATACTTCTCTGTCCACCCACTCTACCACCCACTCCCTACCTCCCAAACAGGTACAGGCTGCCAAGATAACTTTCTTCTTTTAAAAATGATTATTTTTCTTTTTGATTATGAAAAATGAAAATCTGGAAATACACTAGAGAAAAAGAAAAAAATATCTCACCCAAAGAGAACCAATATTTTTGTATCCAGCCATTTCCTTGTAAGTCTTCCTTTTTAAATTCAGCATTTAAACTATAAGCTTTCAGATTTTGCTCTTTCATAATATTCCAGTAAAGTCTTCTAAAAATCCCAACAATTTCCTGGTCTTGTCCCCACCTTATAGCCAATAGACAAATGACTAAGGCTATCTCCAATACGTAAATCATTCCATTTCAAGGCGAAGAAAGCCCCAGCCTGCCTTCTAATCTTATTTCCTACAAATTCTTATTCAAGATGGATCTGCACTAAGCATGCCCTGCCAGACTCTTTTCCACTTCTACTCTCTTCTCTGGCCCAATGATTTTATACCCGATGTCCAGTGACACCACTTCTAACCAAGTAATTAGGTAAGTATACCCTAAAGCCTGTTCCCTCCATCTATAAAATGGGCATACCTCCTGCCCTAGCTATCTCATAGAGTAAATGAAATATCAAATGACATGACAGATAAGAAAGCCATAAAGTGGAATACCTGTGACAGGTATGCTGATTGTTATTTCAATGTTCTCCATGTGAGCCTGACAAATTTTTAAGTTTCTTGGGGAAAGGGATAGTGACAAAGACTAATTCAGTATTACTCTCAGCTCTAAGTACAGGGCAGGGCACATGGTCTGCAATCCATAAATGGTTGCTTACAAATGAATGTACAAACAATGGGACACAACAGACTTGAGCTAAGGGAGGAGAAATGTGATTAAGGAACAGGTGGCAGTACATTATGGAGGCAGGGAGAACAGCTCTGAGGATGAAGGATGAGATGTGGGGAGGCAGAGGTCTTCTTTGCTAGCTTAGAGGAAACTAGAGTTTGGTACTAAAGGCCAAAAGGGATTGGTGGAAGGAAGGTGGGTGCAGCTGTGATTAGGACAGCCATGGAAAAGAAATGAAAGATATGAAGATAAGCAGAACAAAGGACTATTTGGCATAGAACAATCACTTGATAAATATTTATTGCATGAATGGATTCTGGTTGAAGGGAGTCATCAAAATTGAGCTCCCACCAAGCCCAGGCCCAGAGAACTCCATCTTGCTGTAGCTCCTAATGAGAGTTCCTCCAGTTGGGCTCCGTCTTAGCTTTTGCATTCCCCTAATTTAGCAGCTGGCCTTCTCCATAATTTCTGCCCTAACTCAAAAATTATCATTCCAAATTTTTCCTTGTCTCACTCCTGCTTTCTTCTCAATGAAGACTATTCTCTCATTCTAGGAGTTCTGTGTTAATGGCTCCTACCCTATCCTGGGATAGGGAGCCAGGGTCCAGAGGACTGAGCAAAACTTCAGGTCTCTGATTCAGCTCATATTTAGGGACTAAGGGGCTAGAATGCCCAGATGTTTTTTACCTCATGGTCCCCAACACATGCAACCAACTGTACTTGTCTCAGTACCCTAGATCCCATTTTAACCCAAAGGTTTTTAGGGTCAAATTTGGACTGTATTAGTTTCAGAAGCAGCCTGGAGGGATGATTCTTCTGTGGTACAGGACACTGCAGGCACTAACAGAGGAGTCAGATGTCTAGGCAGCACCAGGTCCTTCCCATAGTCCAGGATTGGGCTTAGGTAAGTGACCTTCCCACCACAACCCTCAACACTGGGGAAGTGAAGGATCCCCTGCTTTAGAAATTATCAGGACTCAGTTTCCCAACATATATACCTCCCTCCCCAGCTCTGTGTTTACTGTGTGGGACTGACTCAGGATGACCTCAGGGTGATGCTTTCTGGCCTCACATCCACCTGTTCCTGTTAACAAGTATGGTTTCTCATCATAGTCTTTGAACTCAGTGGGAACCCAGAGGGTTTCTACAGCCCAATAGGCTCTGTGGGTGTCTGTAATCTTGAGGTAGGGGAGAAGCCAGGGCACCCTCTGTAAGACTATTACTAAGACCTCTGGGGACATCTATAGCAGCACCTCTCTGATCAGAAGGCATCTTTGTGGAGCTAGGGGTGAAGTTCAGTGGCAGAGCACTTGCATGCAATCTACCACTGAGTTGTTTCCCCAGCCTACTACTCCCCCCACCCCCACTTTTGACACAGGTTTCAGTATGTTGCCCAGGCTGGCTCTGAACTCCTGGGCTCAAGCAGTCCTCCTGCTTCCACCTCCCAAGTAGCTGGGATTACAAGTGCATACCAGTGTGCCCAGCTCCTTGTCTTTGCTTTTTATATAAGCTGTCTGATATAATAGAGAATAGAGTGAAGTTCTCATTACCCTCTCCTTGGGGATGACAACAGGCAGGCTCTCACCTACTCACTGGAGCTAAACTTTGAGGAAAAGAAACCAGACCCAGACAAGTGTTGGAAGTGTAATACTGTCTGCTTAAAGATGGTACAGAGAATGCTCCAGCTGCTCAGAGTAATCTGGGGTTGAAAACTTCCCCCTTCCAAATAAAACACTGTGTCAGTGCAACAGCAGTCCTACCATTCTCTCCTACCTTGACACAAAGTCTAGCTAATCCCAAAGGGAAGTCTTTGGGAAAGAGGGAGTAAATGAGAGGGAACAGGACCAAAAGTTCCTACCTTTTCCTGCTAAAAAGACAAGGGAGGAAGATGGTTGCAAAGAGATATGACTTGGTCTCACCCTCCAAAATCACAAGCCTAAGATATTCCGGAACAAGGGCCACTTGAATGGGATCAGGAGCTCATTTGCTTTTCCACCCTTTCCCACTTCTGATGGAAGTCTTGAAATGGAACAAAGTAAGGCATTCTAGACAATAGGATCTACTCACCTCAAGCCCATGCCCAAATGCTTTACCAGGTTGCTTAGGGAGATGTTGTTAGCTTGAAAGGGTTTCCTCTTCTCTGCAAACTCGTGTGCCAGGCAGATGCGCCAGCCAAAAGGAGGCACCTGGTACCCCCTAGCTTTTCCCTCATAGGACGCCATCAGCTGCCCAGAGTCCTCCGGATTGCAGTAGCCTGGTTCATTTTGGCGTCGACTGTCCTCAGGGTTCTCGAAACCTGTAACCTGCACAGCCTCCGAGCTCCCAACAGCTTCTGGGCGATAGAGCTGGGAATCCCCTTTGGCGCTGCTAATCTGCTCCAAGGCTGGGACGCTGGTTTCCATGTTCTTTGGATCCTGGGCGCCCACAACCTCTGACACAATGTATGGCCCCGGGTCCCGAGACCTCTGACACAAAGTATATCGCCAAGCCAAGTGCAGACGCGGGCGCCGGTAGTAGTTAGGTGCCGTCCGGGAGGGCTGGACGCTGGGGAAAACTGGGGTGAGCTGGTGGCTTCGTAGAAGCGGGGAGTTCTTGTTGCAGCGGTGGCGACGACAGCAATAAAGCTGCCTCGGACTCCCTTTCGGTAGTGTCTCTAGGTCCTGGGCGGGAAGGGTCGGGCCTCGCCTTCATTGGGCCGTGGTGATTAGCTCGTCTGGCCAAAGGCCGACTGGGCCCGCGGAGAGGGGCGGAGCCGTGGGACCGGCCCGCAAGGCACCGCCCCGGGACCAGCCCGTACAGTCCCGCCCCCGGAACCGGCCCGGGAGCTCACGGCGGCCTTGGCCCCGCCCCGGGGCCACGGCACCAGGCCCCCCAGGGTTGACCGCCGGGTCCGGCCCGCGGGGGTCCGGGACAGCGCCCGCACCCAGGTGCCAGCCCGTGGGATGGTGACCCCGGGCGCCTGGAGGACCCGAGCTTCTTCCGGTCCGGACAGCCGGGTGCTTCCGGCCGGAAGGGGCTCCCTGAGCGGGGCGGGGGGGGGGGCGGATCTGAAAGGAAGTCCCGCCTCTGCCGCGCCACCAACGCCGCGGACGCCGCCGCGTACCTGGCCGGGTCCCGGAGGGGCCCGGGCAGGTGAGGACCTTGGTGTCCTGAGACCCTGGGTTTGGACCGTGCGAGGTGACAGGCGGCGGTGGTCTTGGGCTGGGATGTGAAGTCTTGAGGGAAGTGGGGTGTGGAGGCCAGCCTGTGATGGGGGGACTAAGCCGGTGCTAAGGGGAGCCGGGGTCTGGGGACCAGAACGACGCCTTCCCCCTAGGCAGTACAGGGTCAGCAGCCCCGTGACCCTCCTGTCCTGCCAGCTACCCAAAATCCTGGCATTTTCCTCTGGTACCGAGGTGTTGACCGCCAGTCCTCTGACACTTGTAAGAAAACCCCCATATATTGGTCTCTGGGACTCAGTTCTAGACATACCCCTAGGTTCAGGCTCCCTCCCTGTCATGTTACTGACCTCTGATCTCCCATGTTTCCTTCTAGATCTGAATCCAGAGCTGCCATGATTGAAGTGGTAGCTGAGTTGAGCCGAGGTCCTGTATTTCTGGCGGGGGAGGCACTGGAGTGTGTGGTAACCGTCACCAACCCTTTACCTCCTACAGCCACTTCTGCATCCAGGTGAGGATGCTCCTGCTGAAGGTGGTGGCACTTCTGGGAGGAAGCTTGGTATCTCTGGTGCTATGACAGAGATCAGGTTGTTCAGTAGCTATACCACCAACTTCTTGCTCATTGTGTTCTCATTGTAGGAAAGGGCTATTTAACAGAAGGGGTGGATGACATAGCCCTCCACTCTCCTCCTCCCTTCCCTAGCCCTCCCCATTTCCCGTTGTACTCATAGTATACTTTAATGTAATGGTTTCTCTTTGGGGGTTCCAAATTTCCTGATCACTAGGATAGCCTTCTAACCTTGTTGGTCTCATCAGACAATGTGGTAGGGAGTTTGGGAAAGCATTTGTGAGGTCAGGAATTACCCTCTGATGTCTCCTTTTCCTCTTTCCACAGTGAGGCTCTGGCTTGGGCCAGTGCCCAGATCCACTGCCAGTTCCATGCCAGTGAAAGTCGAGTAGCACTGCCTCCCCCTGATTCTAGTCAGCCAGATGTCCAGCCTGACAGTCAGACTGTGTTTCTGCCACACCGAGGTTAGAGATGGGGCATTTGCCTGGGGTTCGGGGGTGGTTGGAGTCATTGTCACCCAGTGTGATTTTAAGTTGTTCTCGTGTGTTACAGTCCGTGTCACACTGGGGATGTAGAGGAAGGTAGCTGGTGCTTTGTGGTGTAAGATTCTGTCCCATATCACAACAGGAAAAGAGGTGGCATCCTTTCACTGCCTCCACTTGCTTTACTAGCCTTGTCTGACATTGGACAGTGGAGTCATTAAATTGCAGTCTTTCCTGATTTTTATAGGTGAGAGAGGTCAGTGTATCCTTTCTACTCCACCAAAAATTCTATTTTGTGACCTGAGGCTAGACCCTGGAGAGTCCAAATCATGTGAGTGACTGTCCCTAGCCCTGGATTGCCTTCTAAGTCTCCTGGAGGGAGGACTCCTCTGGCTGCCTCTAGCTGCCCTGACTACTGCTTCCCAACCAGACTCCTACAGTGAAGTGCTGCCCATTGAGGGACCACCCTCCTTTCGGGGTCAGTCGGTCAAGTACGTCTACAAACTGACTATTGGCTGCCAGCGTGTCAACTCACCCATCACTTTACTTAGGGTCCCTTTGAGGGTTCTTGTACTGACTGGTAAGTAAGGGTGCCTGGAGGGAAGGGCTGGAGTAGAGCATTGCCAAAGCAGAAATAATCTAAGAGGGCTTGCAAGCGGGGCTGCAGGGAAGCTTTCTTAGGGATGGTGCTAGGGAATTGGGGAGGGAGGGAGTGTTCTGGAAATTATGTGAAGATGTTGACCTCATCCAATGCTTTCCTTACTTGCACTTCTCTCAGGTTGGAGTCTAAACTCAAATCTCTATTTTCATCTGTTCCCTCCTAGCACTACCTCTTCACTTTTTCTCTCTCTAGGCCTTCAAGATGTCCGGTTTCCCCAGGATGAGGCTGTAGCCCCATCTAGTCCATTCTTAGAGGAGGATGAGGGTGGCAAGAAGGACTCATGGCTTGCTGAGCTAGCTGGGGAGCGTCTCATGGCTGCCACATCCTGCCGTAGCCTCCGTGAGAATCCTTTCAGAATTGTTCCGCCCCATTCCTCCTTGCAAATTATTCCCATGTCAAAGACAGTCTCCTAACTACCACATGTTTTTCTGGATGATCTGATTATCTCACCCCGGATTATAAAGATAAGTCCCACCTTTTGGCCTCTGGAACACAGTGCTAGACATCCCCCAGTGTAGACTCCAGGCTTATAGTGTTTCATTCTCCCCAGATCTGTATAATATCAGTGATGGTCGAGGGAAAGTTGGGACATTTGGCATCTTCAAATCTGTGTACAGACTTGGCGAGGACGTGGTGGGAACCTTAAACTTAGGGGAAGGAACTGTAGCTTGTTTGCAGGTAAGAAGGGAGACTGGGGTTCTGGGCTTGAAGGGCTGTTGTAGAAGGAGGCCCTACAGAGAGAGGGGTGGTATGTAGAAGTGGACAGTGGGGTCACCCAGGGTGCCTTTGGTAAAACATTTTGAGATTGGGCTACTCTGTCACTTATGTCTGCATTTATAAATGCCTGCTTGCATGTAACTCTCTTCTTGCTCCTAGTTTTCAGTAAGCTTACAGACCGAGGAACGGGTACAGCCTGAATACCAGCGGCGCCGGGGGACAGGGGGTGCTCCCTCTGTGTCCCATGTGACTCATGCCCGGCACCAGGAGTCCTGCTTACATACTACCAGAACCAGCTTCTCTCTCCCCATCCCTCTCAGCTCTACCCCAGGCTTCTGCACTGCCATTGGTGAGACACTGACCAATATTGGAGAAAGGAGAATAAAATTCTGTATTAGCTAGAGTGTAATGGGTCTTGATTGCTAACACATTTCCCTATATACCTATGTTCATCCTGTGACCCTTAATGTTTTCTCAGAGCTGTAACCTCTACCTCTGTTTTTGGATGCATAGAACCCTAAACTCTTCAGCAGCTTTGTAGAATTCCTTCCCCACTCCAACCTACTGGGCCTCTGTGATGCACTGATCTCTAATTCTTCAGAACATTTACTTCAATCTATGTAGTCCCGACTGTCCCATTCTTGGGTTATTAGGTAGTTGATACTGCTCTCCTTAACAGATTTCTTCAAAAAATGCCCTTGATCAGAACTCCTTGTGACTTTCCTTTCCCTGAATACAAATTTTGTTTTGTATTGTTTCTCATTCACTAACCATATCCTGCTGTTGGCTTTTACTCCTGCTGGCTTCTAATGCCTCTATCTCTCTTTTTTCCCATAGTGTCCCTGAAGTGGCGACTGCATTTTGAATTTGTAACATCCCGAGAACCAGGATTGGTACTCTTGCCCCCTGTGGAACAACCTGAACCTGCTACCTGGACAGGTCCTGAGCAAGTGCCTGTAGACACCTTCAGCTGGGATCTTCCCATCAAGGTGCTGCCTACAAGCCCAACCCTGGCCTCATATGCTGCTCCAGGCCCCAGCACCAGCACCATAACCATCTGAAACTGGCCCATCTACCCACCATGACACTAGCTTCTTCAAGATTCTGAGAACTTAGCATGTGGACTCTAGCTGGAATCCACTTTTTCCACCTAGGACCTAATAGCACAGACAATTGAGAGGCAGTCTGGGCTGGGAGTGTAGCTCAGTGGTAGAGCATTTGTCTAGCATGTGCAAGGCCCTGGGTTCAATCCCAGCACGGGGCGGGGCGGGGGGGGGGCGGATATATATATATATATATATATAAAGAGAGAGAGAGAAAGAGGCAGGCTTTCAGCTATAGCATTAATTTATTTATTCAGAATAAATTGGCAGCTGCTAGTGGTTTCCCTGGAAGTGGCAACAGCAGTGAGCAGTCTGCAGACAGGTGATCAGTTGAGTTTAGCCGGAGTGAGGAGCAGGAATCCCAGGAACAGGGGTGTTAGCTGAGCCCCACTCTGGGTCGGGTCCTCCCCCTTTGCAGGGCAGCCGAGGGTCTGATTTTTGCACCAGGGAGAACTGGCAGGTTCCTGCCTCTTGACGTACCTCACACTCAGCAGGGAAGTCGATGGGGTGCTGAGACCTAGGGAACCAAGGATGGGGAAAGAGCTCACAGTAAAAGCCCACCTTTATGGTACCCCCATTCTTTCTCACTGCTGCTGTCTTCCTATATCTTCTTCACCTACTATACAAGAACTTTTGGGCTGTGTGCAGGAGTATTTTCCTTCTAGATCTGCTTCCACCTCCCTGACTTTGTGGCTTGAAGCTTTATCTTTCTCATTCTTGTACGTACTTTCAGGTCTGGCCAGTCTCATACTGCCCTTCTATTCATTCTTACCTCATAGCAATCTAATCACTCCCTGGCCTTCCCTCAGTCACTCACATCAGAGGCATTCCCTCTGGCCATTCTTGGTTACTCACGTGTCACAGCAGCCCACACCAACAGGATGCAGACAGGTGCAATGGAAACAATCCTTGCGGAGCCAAGACTCACCCAAGGTGAAATATTTCCCCTCATAGTGACAGGGGGCTAGGGAAGAATGAGAAATGTTAGTAGGCATGGGAGGGGTGACAGCAGACAGTCTCTTCTGGTCTGAGGTTGGAGAGAGTCTGTTCATACTATCCCTATATTTAATCTTTCTGTCCTGTTTCACAGCTAAAAGGAATCTGAGTAATTTGATTAGCATCATCTGTAAAGCCCTCATCATCACCCCCAAGCCCATTCCTTATTCTTTGATTTACTCAAGTCTCAACCCACTTTACCTTGAGCTTGGAAGTAACACTTGCTGTGGACTCCTGGGTACTGCAAGAAAAGAGACATCACCAAACAGATGATCCCCCAGCCTCCTAGGATCCCTTTGGTCTGTCCAGCCCAGAGCATCCTCAGAGCCATTCTTGCAGCACTGCCCTCTTGGACCCTTCTTAGCTTCTGTTCAGGATACTCTGATCTTGTCCTTTTGGCTCTTCTTTGCTTTGCTCCTTGAGTCTTTAGTTTTGCTGTTTTTCCCTGGCCTCCTATCTCACACCATCTCCTTGCCCTCTGCTCTCACAGGCTGGGATGTTTATAAAGTGAGGACCCTGGCCCCCTGCTGAGTAGAGCTGGAACCGCTGTAACTCTGTTTCCTGAGGTGAGGGCATGAAAACAAGAGGTCCAGCTTTAACAAGCTGTGAGAGCTGATTCATGCCCCAGCACGGCTAGAAGGAGGGAGGTGGCTGTGGAAGGGGCACTGGACTGGGCAGTTCCCCAAGCAAGGAGGTGGGAGGGGTGAGAGCTCCAGGTGGTCCCAGATCTCCCTGAAATGGAGAGAGGAAACATTCCACCTTCCCCCACCCCACCCTCCACTACCACCACCAGGAGTGTGTGTGCTGGGATCCCTGCCTGAACCGGAGGGAGGTATTTCCTGGGGATGGCTAATTCTGTGCCCTCGCCAAACCAAGGAGCTACAGCAGGGTGCAACAGCCAGAGGCTCCAGGAGAGCGAACAGGCACCTGGAGTGGAGAGCCTGTTTCCTTCAGATCCTGGGGCAGGTTTTCTTTGATGCGTTCAAGAAACAGGGCTGCCCTTCAGAGATGTTGGGAGTGAGGGGTGTTTTCCTCAGGCATCCCAGAGATGAGCTATCCATAATTTATCACCCGCAAACATAAAGCAGCTGCTGTAAGACTGCCTCATGTCTGGGGATACTTCTGTTCCCATTTCAAAGAGGAGCATTTTCTCTAGGCACCCTAATCACCTGCTTGAATCACCTGTTTTACAGAGGGGCCCCATCTTTATTCAGGGTGGAATGAGGCTTCAGGAATTTATCTTTTGGCATTCTCCTTTGAGTTTCCTTCAGGTTCTGAAGGACTCAGATGGGTGATTGAGAATGTAGGCCAAAGAGATAGGCTACTGGGATTCAGATCCTGACTTATTAGCCATGTGACTTTGGGCAAGTTACTTCATCTCTCTCAGCCTATTTCCTCATCTATAAGTCAGGGATAGTAACGCCACATCATAGAGTTGTTATGCAATAGCATAGGGAATATTCTTAGCACCGTCTGGCACATAGCTACTGTATTGGTGCTAAAGCTCACAGACAAAATGGGTGACATTCTTTACTTTGAATGACACGGAGTAGCTCTGTGCACAGCTGAGGTCATCTGTTGAGGACTGCTCTCTCACAGCCAACTTCTTCCCTTTCATGTATATGCTCTGTGTTATCCCTACCACCTCCTTCAAACATGCATCCAGGAATATTTTGATTTGGGTCCTAATATTGAATTCTAAGTGTCTGGTTTGAAAAACAATGTTGTTGATCAACCTGCTTTTTCCTCATATCAGTGCCCTCATATCTTGCCTGGGAAGAGGTGTTCTTATTTCTTTCCGGCTAACTTTAGAGCTTCTACTTTTTTTTTCATTAGGATTCTGATCCATTTCTTCCCATCCACACTGAAGTGGCTGCTCAAGTTCTATGTTCTGATCACTCTAATATTAGCTTTCTTTTTGGTACTAAAGGCCCTGGTCAAACTGGATTTCTTTGACTTTTCCACACTTTGAAGGCCCATGCTCCAGCTCTTCCCCTCCTACGCATGGGGCTGATCACTGCCATTGTTACCATTTTTCCTCCTAAATGTCTGCTTCCATTTACTTCAAGACTTACTCTGTCACCTGTAGGTACAACTACTTCTGGCAAACTTTTTCAGAGGACCACCCTGTCTGTCAACATCCTCTCCATTCAGAAATGACTTTCAGTGCACTTCAAACTCCCTAGCAATCCTCTTCCAAAATATTCTTTCAGAGGAGTGCCAAGATAAGAAAGAAAAACTCACAATTGCAGCAGGGTGCCCTGAGGTAGGCTGGTGTGTGGAATACCATGGCCTGCGACTGCTCACTTGGTTGGAGCCCCGGAATTAGAAGCCCTATCTGGCACAAAGGCCCAGAAGTCTTGTCAATTGTCAGTATCTCTGCGGCTATCTTTGGTGGGGTCCAGCCAATGTCCAGGAAGCTGAGCCATAGACTATAACCTGGGGCCGACTCCATAGGGGGCAGGCGTGAGTGGAGAGCGGGAGTGCATGGAGGTGGCGGTTGTGATGCTGGAAGGTGAAGGGGCCTATTATTCATTGGTGTGTGAGGTTATGGATACAGGAAAAATGAGGGTTTTCGCCTGCAATGGACATGCGGTCAGTATATAGGGGCAGGAATAGGGGGCTTTTGGGAAAGAGGCTTGGTGAGCCAGGATTCCTCTCCCAGAAGTTAGAGGGGTGGGTGTGGAGGTGTTGGTTGATCCAAGTATGCATTCCTATTAGTATGTCCATGTGTAGGGAGTGTCAGTGCTTGGGGTCCAGCCCTCTGAGTCCCAGGGAAATGGCCATTTGGGGCACTAGTGGCGGGGGGCACAGTGGTTGGCATGCACTGCCAGCGCAGGAATAAGGAAAACATCCGCCGGAGGCCCAACCGGGCAGCGCTCCAGCAGAGCCGGCAGGTGCGCGGGATGAGGAAGTGAGCACATTCCGGCTCCTTCTCGGCCACCCGCCTTTCAGTGAGTCACTGCGGACCCCCGCTGGCCTGCAGCCGGATTGGAGCCACCAACTCCCGGGCCAGGAGGGAGAGAGCAGCGGCCTTTGGGGATGGTGGCACCTGGAGATTTGGGAGCCTGGACCCCAGAAGGATCATGGAAAAGCCCAGAAACCATGGGGGAGGGGTATCTGTGCGGACAGTGTCCTGTTGGTACAAGGGCAAACCGCAAAGCACGCTGAGTATGTAGCTTGTGACTGAATGGAGTTTCTTGGGATGAAAGTCTCTGGGAGAACTTCATGTACTGGGAGAGGCCTTAGAAAACTCACACAGAGAAAAGGGCCCTGGGGAAAACCTAGAATCTTGAGGAGGTACTCAGAAAGGGAAGAGGAGCCCTAGGACTGCAGTACCAAGAAGAAACTCCAGGTTGGGCCTTAGAGAACTGAGAGACTCAGTGCAAGGAAAGATACTCATCAGATGAGAGGTGGAACTGGCTAGTCCCCTCCAGAGACCTGTGTGGACAGGGGAGGTTAGGCAACAATTGTGATTTGGTCATTGAAGGCTTTTAGTACCAGGATGAAGAAAGTCTATTTGGCCTCCCAGGTAGAAAAAACCATCATTGGTCTGTGTCAGAAAGAGGTGGCTGAAATGCAAAATTATGTGTCCAGCATTATTGCCTGCCATTCAGTTTTTGCCAAAGAAATTAAGCATTAATCTCATTTTTATAGTCATTTGAAATTGCATGAGTATATCTATCATGATTAAGTAAATTTTTTGAATTTTAAAAACAAAATTTTAAATAAAATTGAAAAGTTGAAAAATGATTCAATATTTGATTTAAAACCTAAAGGCAGGTTCTTACAATTAGTTATATGGTGTTGGGCCTTTCCTTTGTTGCTCTTTGTGACAATTTTATCTCAGTGAGAGGACTGACTTCTGTGAGTCAGTGCCTCATTTCGTCCTCATCTGTAGCATAGCACATCTGCTTCTTTCCCTCTCCTTCATCTTATCCTTTTTTTTTTTTTTGGGGGGGGGGGGCTTGCACTTGGTAGCAAGTGTTCTACCACTGAGCTACATCCTCAGCCCTTTTAAAATTTTTATTGGTCTGAATAAATTGCCCAGGCTGGCCTCAAACTTGTGATCTTCCTGCCTCAGACTCCCAAGCTATGCCAACTTTATCTTTTCTTTCTTTCTTTCCTCCTTTCTTTCCTACTGGGGATTGAACCCAGGGGTGCTTTATCATTGAACTGCATCCCCTGCCCTCCCCTACCCTTTTTTTTTTTTTGAGACAGAGTGTGGCTAAGTTGCTGAGCCTCCTGAATTTGCAATCCTCCTCCCGCAGCCTCCTGAATCTCTGGGTTTACAGGCCTGCATCACTGTGCCTTCCCAGTTTGTCCACCTATTTGGTTGTGCTGGGGATTGAACCCAGGGCCTTGCCCATATGAGGCAAGCACTCTACCAACTGAGCTAAATCTCCGGCCCCTGTCCAGCTATGTTTACTTGACTTTTTTTCCTGCTTAACTCTTTAACCTGCCCTTATATATCCTGAACCAAGTAAAACATTTCTTGGGGCGGGGCATGGGTCATTGAACTCCAGTCTACAAAGACAAGTAACAATTCTGTCATGGACATTAGGTTACTTACTATCTTCTGTGGGCAGTTATGTAACTACAAAGTTTCTATGTTTACCCTGTGGCTGATAAAGAGAAAGCTAAAGCTGTTTCATTCACTGGTAGTATTTCTCAAGGTGCTTCCTCCTTTTGGTACTGGGGATTGGAGTGCATCCGTGCTATACCACTGAGCTACATCCCCAGACCTTTTTTGCTTTTTGAGTCAGGATCTTGCTAAATTGCCTGGACTAGAGTTGAGGTGCCTCTTGCCCCTGCTCCCCTCCCTCAAGTCATTTTAAAGATCCTTAATTCTTCATTTGCCTTTGGTCCCAAACAAGAAAATCTGGGTCAGCTAGTGAAAAAAAAAAAAAAAATTTTTTTTTCTTACTTTGGATCCTGTTGCTTTCCTCCCATGCTATTTCAGCCCTAGCCCTGCCCTATTCCCAGTGGCCTTTACCTTCATTCCTTCTGTGCTCTGCTGGGCATCTTTAGAGGAAAACTTCACACCAACTTCCTCTACTATAAATTTGCTCCCTCCCTTCATCTCTACACTTGTCTTTGCCAACATACACCACAACTTCTTCCCTACTTTTTTTTTTTTTTTTTTAAGCCCATATCCCTTCCTGGCTCTTTTCCATCTTTAACACTCTTGTTGAAATCCTCCCCCCTCCTTTTTTTTTTTTTTGATGAGAACTGGGGTTTTTTAAAAGGCTAGGCTTTGGTTATTTATTCTGCATGATCCACTTCTGCCTTCCTTCCTCTTCTATCACCTTTTTTCTTATTCTGGACTGTTTTGAAACTCCATTATGCTTATTTTCACCCAAAGCCTTATACTTTTCTTTTATGATTAAAATTATTCCTCTGAATTCAGTAAAAATACATTTTTTTGTATAAAAGTAGTTCTCAATTCACATCTCGTTCAGTCTCTTCTCCCAATGTTTTGCATCCAGAGATGTGACGGGTCCATTACTGTAAAGTTCATTGAGTGAAAATTTAAGATTTCTTAAAATAATAGATTTAAGATTGGTGTTGTGCTAAGCACTGTGTAGTGAATTTCATAATCCTGGTACCAGATTCCTAAATGCTTACAAACAAAAAATGCTATCACACATGTGCATGAATGTTGCCATACACTTCGCACAACAGAACCAAAAGCCAACAAATAAATAATGCACACACAGGCACATACAATTACATCACAATCAAGCTAATTACATTTTGGGGTGGAAGATGAGGGTAGGTAAGCAGTTAGGATAGAAACAAAAAACCAACCTTTAATATTTTGTTTTCAGACTAGAGAAGGGTGAGAGGAAAGAGTTATCCCTGTGAAGATGGTATCTTCATAAAAGAAGCTGAGTTTCAACAATTGGGAAGGATGACTTTAAGGCTGTGGTGAATGGAAGGAGGATGGGTGGAGGGCCAGAGTTCCAAGAACACAAGGTTGCTATACCCAGCAGCCCAGTATTCTGACAGAGAATATAAAAGATTTTCTCACTGTGATACTGATTGCAACCATAGTTAACTTTCTAATAATCCATTTTGAAATTTGCCTATCTCTATACCATTGGAGTCATTCTTTTTTTAAAAAATATATATATATATATATATATTTATTTATTTATTCAGTTGTAGTTGGACACAATATCTTTATTTTATTTATTTATGTGGTGCTGAGGATTGAACCCAGGGTCTCACATGTGCTAGGCGAGCGCTCTACCGCTGAGCCACAATCCCAGCCCTGGAGTCATTCTTTTTTTTTTTTTTAAATTTATTATTATTATTTTTTAGTTGTAGATGGACACAACATCTTTCTTTCTTTATTTTTAAGTGGTGCTGAGGATCAAACCCAGGGCCTCACACAGCTAGGCCAGTGCTCTACCACTGAGCCACAATCCCAGCCCTCCCTGGAGTCATTCTTAACCAAAATTTTCTTTATTATGTTTTCTACTTACAAATTCCTATGTTCATGATAACCCCCTACCAATTAACCCCTAGTTAACTACTATTAATTTTCACCAAATTACCTATCTACTTGTATGCTTTGATTTTTCCTGCCTGCTCCACAATCTACTTATGGTAGTAGTGGCTTAAAATTCCACTTGTGACTCTTGCCTTTATCTCATTTGTAGATTACTGATTTCTTAAAATAATAGATTTAAAACTTGACACTTTGAAGGATTCTAGTTTTTTATTTTTTTATTTTGTGTGTGTGTGTGTGTGTTTTACCCAAAACAGAATTTACAGTTCTACTTATCTTTAATAAGCTCTTTGCCCAGCTGTCTCTATTGAATGGATTGCTTCTTCCTGAGATGGAGCTGCCTGTTCTACCATTATCAAGTTTAGTAACTAGAGAGTAGTGGAGCTGAAACATGTCTTGCTTATCTACTCCTTTTCCCCTCTTAATTCTACTCTTTGGAACAATATGGGAGACATCAGTTTTCAATATGGCAGCTTTTTAAAGATTTGAAAAGTTTGGGGTTTCTTTTTGTTAGCTATTTGTCTAAGCTTTCTCTTTACTTCAACATTGTCCAATGGAACTTTCCGCCAAGGTGGAAATGCTCTCTCCCATGTGAGCCACATGTGACTCTTAAACATTTGTAATGTGCCTAGTGAGACTGAGGAACTGTATTTTAAAATTGTATTTAATTTTAATTTAGCTAGCCCCATGAGTCCAGTGGCTTCTGTGTTAGTACAGCTCTGACTCTCTGGGAGTTAGTATTTGTCACACAGTTCTCTTCTTGGCCACTTCATAAATCTTATAAAGCATGGTAAAAATGTGTAACTTGCTCTTGAAGTTACTGTCTTCTGAGGCCATCTCACATTATGCAACTGAGAAATAGCTCAAACTCAACTCCCAAAGCCCTGATGAATAATGTCAAATTTACCAAAGTTTTCTTAGAAGGGCAAGAAGGCAAGATTGTAGCTCACATCCCAAAAAGAAGAACCCAAAAGAAGAACTTAAAAATGTCTTCATTGAATATCTGTCTTTTCCTAGAGTCCCATTCCCTAGTGGCTCCCATACTGGCTACCAAATCACCCCTCTCTTCTCTCCTTCTCTTCTTTATCAAAAGAAATTCTTTTTCTCATTGAGCTTTGCCTGTCCATTTTCTTTAAGCACCACCATTTGCCCTCTTCCCTTCTGAGGAGAGTTTTTAGGTGTGCTTTTTAAATTCTGGGGGGTGGTTACTGGGGATTGAACCCAAAGCCTCATGCACGTAAGGCAGACATTCTACCACAGAGCTCTACCCTAGCCCTCAGCTGTGCTTTTGCTTTTCTATCCTGTCTGCTTTAAAACCAACAGGCATTTTCTGGACCCACTTTCTTGGGGGGTATAACTAGGGGAAGAAGGTGATAAGTACATATATATTTTTTCCTCTTATACATAATTCCTGAATTCCTTCCAGTAGTCCTCTCATCTTTGCTGGACATTCTTTTTCTTTTTTTTTTTTTGCATTGGTTTTTTTTTTTTTTTTTGCTGGACATTCTTAAGCATTGTTTTACAGAAGAATCTTTAGTGTCTTTTTTTTTTTTTTGGTGGCGGGGTGTGTGGGTACCAGGGATTAAACCTAGGGGCACTTAACCACTGAGCCACCTCCCCAGCTAATTTTTTTAAAATTACATATTAAATTTTTGAGACAGGGCTTTCTCTTTACTAAATTACTCAGGGCCTTGCCAAGTTGCTGAGGCTGGCTTTGAACTTGTGATCCTCCTGCCTCAGCATCCTGAGCTGCTGAAATTATAGGTGTGTACCATAATGCCGGCTAATGTCATTTTGTCATTCTATATCTACAGTTGAATATATCCTAAAGCTACTTTTATAGATAGTTCCTTTGTCTATTTTCCTTTGGTTTTTGCTCTTAACTTTTCCTTCTATGTTATTTGTAATAGGTTTATCATTTTTACCTGTCCAGGCATAAATATGCCACATCCACTGAAGGAGCAACATTTATTTTTCTGCTGCTTGTCACTCAATATCTCATACTCCATTGATTAACTTTTTGACTCATCATTGTTGTCCATACTTACTTCCCTTTATTGTCTGTTGTTCTCATCTCTTCCAATCCATCTCTGAATAAAATTCACTTTTTTATTTTGGGGGGTGGGGTGGGTACTGGAGATTGAATCCAGGGACACTATCACTGAGCTATATCCCTAACCCTTTTTACTTTTCTGTTCTGAGACAAAGTCTTGCTAAGTTGCTGAGGCTGGCTCTA